ACTCCATTGCTGTGGGCCCAAGGTGAGGCAGAGCATCATGGCGGAAGAGTGAGGTGGAGGAGTTGCTGTTGCACTCATGACAGACAAGAAACAGAGAGAAAGAAAAGGGGAAGGGTCCATATCTCCAGTGTTTTTCGCCATAAGTTAATAGTGGTTATAGGAGAAATGTTTTGGAAGCGAGCCACAGGGAAGATGAACCCTCCCAGGGCCCACTGTCAGTGACCTACCTCCTCCAGCCACACACAGTTACCAGTCAGTCCATTCAAACAAGGATGGACGAATGGTATTTCAGTTACCATAGTCTAATCATTTCACCTCTGACTATTCCTGCATTAACACTGGAGCTTTGGGGGGACACTTTATATCCAAATCATAACATATTATAATCCTCACTTTATAGATATGGGAACTGGGGCACAGAAGTTTGTATAACATACCCAAGTCACAAGGCTTTGACTCCAAGATGTCTATCTCTGGAGCTTGCACTCATACCCCCATGCTAAGTGCTATGGAGGAAGAAATAAGAAAAAGACAAAGGGTCAGATAAGGAAAGGAAGGAGGTGGTAAATGATGGATGGGCTGGAATGTTATTTTAGATAGTAGGTAGTTAAGAAAGGCCTCTCTGAAGAGATGATCTTTATAGGAAGTTCTTTTTAAAAATCCAGTGTTACAAGTTACATTTAGTTGTCATGTCTTTTTAGATTCCTTTAATCTGAAAACATTCCTAGCCTTACTCCATCTTTTATGACATTGATATTTGATAGGAACAGACTGATGGAGAAAAAGTCTCAGTTTGGGTTTGATCTTAATTTTCCGAGCAGATGATGTCTGCCACATTTCTTCACTGTGCAGTTATCCATTTCCCTTTGTAGCTAGTAAGTAATCTGGGAGAGAGATTTTGAGATAACCATGAGAATATACTACTTCTTATTTGACTTTTACCCAATAGTTTTCACATGTGTTTTTTAGTCAACTTTTTTGCCACCGTGACTAAAAGACCTCACAAGAACAATTTTAGAGAAAAGAAAAGTTTATTTGGTGTTCACAGTTTCTGAGGTCTCCGTCCATAGATGGCCAACTTCATTACTCTGGTCCCAAAGTGAGACAGAACATTATGGCAGAAGAGTGTGGAGGAGGATGGCAACTCAGGACAATGTTAACAGGAAGGAGAGAGAGAGAGAGAGGGAAATGGGGCAGGGGTTGCCCCACTCATCAGGGACAAAATATAAATCCCTAAACCATGCACCCAGTGACTATGGCCTCTGGCCCCACCCTCTCTGCTACTTGTCTACAGTTATCACCAGGTTAATCCCCATCAGTGGATGAAGCCATTGATTAAGTTACAACTCTCACAATCTATTCACTTTGTCTCTGAATGTTCTTGCATTATCTCACACATGAGCTCCCAGGTGACCTCTTGTGCAATCTGACAGGAACTGAAGGACTGAAGAAGTTCATAGATATACTGAGATAACCTAAGCCAGAATCTGGGGCAATCAAAGGATCAGAAGAAATGGCTTCTAAATTGAAACCTGTGGTATATGGTTAGTATTAAGCCAGGGAAAGGAGTGCAGGCAGAGGGGAGGGGGTGTTTAAAAGCCCCACCCAATTCTGGAGAGCAGGATGAGCTGGGATCTGTGGTAGAAGGGTGGGGGAATGGTGTTGAACAAGTACGTGTAACTCAGGAAAGACATCAGCATTGGTTTGGACTCCAATCTGAGTGCAAATTGAGGAGACAGTTAGTTTTGCATTTTAGGAGGATGACTGTGGACATTTTGTAGAGAACTGGTATAAACAGGGCAGGAGTGAGTATGGGAAAGGCCACCTGCAGGATACTGCCAGAGAAAATAAGATAATGAAACTAAGCAATGGCAGAGTAACTACCTGATATTTAGTAAAGGAATTCAGTAGAAAATTGTTAATGGATTAAAAGGGAAATTGAAGAAGAAGGGACTTCTCATCCCTTCCAGACTTACTTACTTGGAGGTCTTAGCCACTCTGAGCAGAAACAAATTCAGAGCCGGTAAAGCGGAGAGTGGGAAGGAAGATCGCTTTAGCTCATCTTGGCAATGGTTTTTGACCCTTGGGCCTTCACTCCCTCATTCAATAGGAATTACCTCCTCTCTGCTAAGAATTCAGGCTGTAATAGAGAACCAAGGCAGATAATATTCCTGCTCTTTGGAGCTTCCAATAGATTGTAAGAGAGAACTCTTAGTCAAGTGTAAAATACCCACTAGGGTGGGCTACACAGGATGGAGCATTAAAAAAAAAATTTCCCCCCACCAGGTACTTCTGATGGCAATCAAGTGTGAGAAGCACTGCTTCTGCTTTGATGACCGTAGCAGTGACCTCTGGGCTTAGCTACTGATTTGTATTTCTGTGAATTCACTGCTAACAGTGGCAGTAACAATTAGAATTGCTGAGCCAGTGTAGAAAATATTCTGGAAGCTTGGAAAGTTTGACATCAGAAAGTCCTAGTGTTGGGCCCCAGGAGAGGCAGGGTCAGTGTCTGCAGTAGTTCACACTGTGTCTGTGGCCTGGCACAATCGTGTTTGATAAAATAGCAATGAGTGATGAGTGTGGTGGGAATATGGTAGGTGTTTTTTATTGTAGTTCTTTAGGGTTTTCCATATTTAAAACATTTAAAATAATTAAACAGATATATTTAGAAGAAAGTAAGCTTCCATAAAATACAAATGAAACCCCAGGGTAGTTCAAATATCCATCGTTAGGTGTATGTTAAGGTGCTATTTACAGGACTCCTGGGACACATGGAGAGGTCTCATGCTGTGTGTTACAGAATGACAAGGGCCATGCCACACTTTAGCACAAACCCTGCCATTACCTGTTCCTAAGACCAGGTATTGTTGAGTCCATATGGTACACCAGGCATGTGGTTGGCATAGGAGCTTGCCTTATTTTATAATATATAATGCCTCTTAGTTCACTTAATTCGGGGGGTTATAAAGTGCTTTCATACAGTTTTCGTGCCTTACTATACCTAGAATATAGAGATAGTTTTAAATTCACAGATGAGGAAATTGAGGTTTAAAGGGGTGAAGTTTTTCACCCAGCTTGAGATGTTTTAGATTTTGAAGGATTTTCTGTATCTTGTTTTGTGTATAATTCCAGTGCCCAGCATAATGCCTGGCATGTAATAGGTGTTCAACAAATACTAGTGAATAAATTAATGCATGCAAAAATGAATGGTGAATGAGCAACAGATATGGG